GGGGGGGGGGGGGGGGGGGCAGGCACGGAACATGTGCTGGAGTAGAGACTCCCCTGCAGGCCGTGGTGAGAGGGCAGGTTGTGCTCCTGCAGCACATGGAGGTCATTGGTGAAGCAGATGCCCACCTGCATCCTGTGGAGAAGCTCATGCTGGAACCAGCTGCCTGAAGAAGGCTGCAGCTCTGAGGAAACTACTCTGTTGTAGTTTGTCGCTGGAAAGATTGAAGTGCGCAAAAGGGAACCATGCTGGAACAGCATGGGCAGAGTTGCATCCTGTGGGAAAGATTCATGTCGGAGAAAGTTCATGGAGGACTGTCTCTCATGACAGGAACCCCAAGATGGAGCAGTGGAAGAGTGCGAGGAGTCCTCACCCTGAGGAGGAAGGAGTGGTAGAAACAATGAGTGATGAACTGACCATAAACCCCATCTCCTGCCCCCCCTGCACTGCTGGTGGAGAGGAGGTAAAGAAATCAGGAGCAAAACTGATCCCCAGGAAGAGGGAGGGGTGGGGTGAAGGTGTTTCTAAGATGTGGTTGTATTTCTCTCTCCTACTGTTTGTAAGTATTGGTGGCAGTGGTGTTTGAATTAAATTGATATTCTTTTTCTTCCCCTAAGGAGCCTGTCTTTTGTCTATGACCATAATGGGTGAATTATTCTTCTCTATCCTTATCTAGACCATTTTGTTTTAGTTTCTCTTTCCCATTCCTGAGGGGGAAGGAGTGAGGGAGCTGCTGGGTGGTGTTCAGTTAACGTCCGTGCTCCAACCAGCACAGAGAGTTAAAGAACAATTTTGCCTCTCCCATGTTGATGGTTTAGCCTCTTTCTCCTTGGGGAGCCTTGCATTTGACAGTTTGTCACAGTCCCCTTAAAAAGGTTCACCCTGACTTAATTGTTGAAAATCAAGAAGTTTAACATGATGCAACTTTGGGGTGCATATTAAGGAAAGAAAATGGAGTGGGGAGAAACAGAGAAGAGGCAACTTCAGAAATGATGAAAAGGTTTCAGCTTGGGGTAGTAATCCTATGAAGACTTACCATAATAAGTAACTTACCATCCACATCTGTGGATGTGTCAGGTTCATGATATGTGCAATTAACTATTTAACTACTAAACTGATGAATATAAACTTATTGATACAGGTCACCTAATAGATACTAGCTTAATTTATAATCTAACTGTACTATAGGAATTTTTAATATATATCTGTACAGCTCCTCATACAGTTATTAAAGACTGTGATCAAAATCACAATTTTAATACTACTAATAACGATACTGATACATTTAATGGACTGTCAAATGGGTAAGAGACTCTTATTTCTGTGAGATGTTATTATCACATTATTGCGTACACCTGGAAAAGTCTTAATGATATGTTAACCCTGCAGATTTATTTCACTATTAAACAGAGATCTAAAAATCTTAACTACAGTTCTAAATAATGTGCTTCATAAAACGTAACTTCATTTTTATAAACAGAGATCATCCTGGGTTAATTATAGACAGACAATGGACAGTATACAGAGTGTTAGAGTACTCCAGTCCAGCAGCTCACAAAATAAATCCTTGGCAATTTAATCTCGAGGAAGAAAGAAGGTTTTTGTAAGTTGAAATGGGACAGTTTTGACCTTATGCAGAATAGACCCATAATTTACGAAATAGATGGAAACTTTACTGCAAAAGTGTAGTAT